GAATGGGAAAACAATAATCAATTGTGACTTTGTTGATGGCACGATTATCCACACACATTCTCCAAAAACCATTCTTCTTAGGCACCAACAAGGTTGAAACCGCACAAGGACTCATGCTCTCCCGAATCAGCCCCTTTTCTACCAACTCACTCACTTGCCTTTGAAGTTCTTCATGCTCCTTGGGGCTCATTCTATGGGCTACTTTATTAAGTAGTATAGCCCCTGGAATAAGATTTATATGATGCTGGATGTCTCTCAAAGGTGAAAGACTATGTGGAATCTCCTCTAGTATAACATCTTAAAACTCCTCCAAGATTGATTTCATGATTGCTGGTGACTCCTTGTGTTGTTCATTCTTCTCTACTACTACTAGAGCCAAAATATCACCACCCCTTTCTAGTGCACCCTTACATTCACCATAGGTCATAAGAGCACTAACTTCCTTCTTTGGTGGACTGGTTTTAGAAGATTATAATGGAGCTAAAATAATCTTCTTTTCATTCACCTTAAAAGAATAAGTATGTTTGTAGCCATCATACAACACTCTCCTATCATATATTTTCGAAGGATTTTATGCGTAAATTAGGCGTACCGCTCGGTACGCCCTGGCATACTGTTCGATACGTCGTACCGTACTATACTGAGTAAAGCTCGATACACCAGTACAATACAAAATTTCAAACCTTGGGTAGAGCCCTGTCATTGTCAAGCTGACTTCAAAAAACTACTAAAAAAGCCTTTCTTAGGGTTCTTAAAAGTATTCTCACTCACAAGCACAAGCAAGTATAGAACGGAATGCAACTTCCTTGCTCTCTTCCTTCCCACTCTCATTTCAATCTGCTACTTCCATGATCAATGTGGCATGGCAGGGTCATTTGCCTTGCTCACTATTAGGTATATCTCTTCCCTTGCCCATGTCATTTATCTTCTTTTTTTCTCTTATAATGTTTCTAACCTTCTCTGCTCTTAACTGATGAATTGCCCAAAGATAGAGGGAGTGAGAAAGTGAAGCATACCATAGTCTTCTTAGGGAAGAAAGAATCCTATTGGAGGGCTACAAACTAGCACTTACACTAGAGGAGATTCTCTTTCTTAAATATACGGCTGGCAGTTCAGATACTCCCACATTTTACCATCTGTCAAAGTTACCCCTGATTGTTCATAGATGAAATTATATTTTTTTCAATATTTTTTATTAACTCCACATATTTGCTTCAATATTCTCATCTCAATGACACAAACCTTTTATAAATTGTTTCTTAACCACCAAATACTTAAACCTATAAATTATTATTAGTCTAATAATTATCTTATAAAATTTTTCTTATAATCTCAAAGGATCCAATGATCCCATAAACCACAAAGCTTTTATTTTATGAATAATACTTTCATACAAGGGCCATCATTTCAGGTACTAGACCCATTCCGGTGATCTATTAGTCCAATACGTACTAGTCACTATCGGTGTTTCAAAGAGGAAGGAGAAGAGCAACGGGTAGTGGAGGAAAAGGAGGAAGGAGAAAGAAGAAAGAGGAGGAATAAATAGGAAGGAAGAAGAGGAGATGGTGGAGGAAATGTAGGAAGAAGTAGGAGGAAGAGGAGATGGAGGGGGAAGAGGAGGAAAAAGCAAATGAAGGAAGAGGATGGAGGAAAAGAAAGGAAGAAGAGATGGTGGAAAACGAGGAGAAAGGAGGAACCAAGAGGAAAGGAGGCGATGGAGGAAGAAGAGGTCGAAGGAGGAGAAGTGGACAAAACCTCCCTGTTGACAGTGAGGGTGCTCACCGTCGATGATGGGCGATAGTGTCAAGCACTCGCATTCAAGCGTTCATGAGCCCTAAACATTTAAATAGGTCAAAGCAGATCGCTCGAAACAGGGCAATCCATATATTGGTTCACGCTCGTACCGATACATACTACCCATTCTGTATTGGTCCGAACGAAATAGCCCTTGCTTTCATTAATTTCTTAATCTTGTTGAATAATCAATTCAAGAAATCTAGAACTTCTACTTATTGGACATGTTTATCGATCCAACTTAACTATATTGTTAGTTCTTCTCTTACTATTATTAAAATTACTCTCATATATTTTGTCTTGGTCTTAGTTAATTTAAAAGATTTCATTTCCAAAGTTTGCTCTTATAGCTCAAGATTAAAATTAATTTTATTTTAAAATTTAAACTTTTATAAACCATAATAATATTAGCAACAAATAGGTCTATCTTGTATATGACTATTAAGTTCATTCATTAACAATATAAAAAAGGTAAAAACTTAATATTAGTCTTCATATAATCCTATATTAATAAGAAATTCATTGGGTGCTCTTAACATTAGTGACTACACTATCTTTTATAACATCAATATATTTAGTTAACACATCTTTCTTTCCAAAAGCCCCCAATAATAGATCGTTTCGAAAAATATCATAGGATTTTTCTAAATCAATAAAATTTACATATAAATCTTTCTTTTATTTCTCTATACTTTTTTATTACTTAATAAATAACTTTTCACTGTTAATCTTTCGGATAGAAAACTAAATTGATTTTCGAAGATATTTACTTCACATCTTATTCTACTAACAATTACTCTTTCCCAAAGCTTCTTTATATGACTCATCATCTTAATTCCTTGGTCACTAGAATAATTTTGGATATCACTATTATTCTTACAAATTGTTCGTAGAAATCTTTTCCTTCCATCATTAAAATTTTATTAAATAAATTAGTCAATCAAAATATTCCTTGATCACCTAAATTCTTTAAAGCCTCAATAGGAATAATATCGAGCTCCACACTCTTACCTATTTTCAGCCTTTTTCTAAGGCTTATATTGCATTACTTGCTTTAATCTTACCAAGGTTTGTAATTTCATACCGTACCGGAGTTTCGAGCTCAGTTCAGTATGGTACGGTATAAATATACCAAGCGGTACATTTCGGTATACCGCTAGGTATATATATATATATATATAAATTTAAAAATAAACGACAACTCTGCCCGCATAAGGAGCCGCATGAAAAAAAAAAAAGGGGGAGGCGACATCACCTCGGTTTCCCTACGGAAAAAAAAAAATGGAAAGGCGACGTAACCGAGGCTTCATCGTTGCGTTGGATCTCCAGGTTTTCTTCTTTCTTTTCCGTCATCGATCGATGCTATCGCCCAGTAACGGACGGTCCATGTACCGGTCTGCTGACGAACCCGAATGTACAATACGGGTGATATTATTCGAAATTAAAATCCTTGAATCTTACAAATAAATCAATGATTACTAAGACTACCAGCATTATTTTTATTTAGAGCTAAGTTATTTAGAATATTCATTAAATAATTTATAAAAAAATCTTAATCTTTCCATAATCTCCTTATTATTAATAAGAACCTTATGATTTTCATCTATAATGCATCTTATATTATCTAAATCCATGCACTTTCTTTTCATAGCTTGAACAATTTGAAATATATCCTTTTTGCCATTCTTAGTACTAACCTATTATAAAGAACTATCATAAATCTAGTATCTTGTCATACCTACAATCTTTGTTGCCTCTTTTTTTGTTGCTACATATCTTCTTAGATTCTCCTCATTTTTATAATTTTGTCAACCTTAGAAGCATGATCTTTTAGTAGTAATCATTTTTTGAACTTTCTTGCATCATCACTAACTCTCTCTTAAAGCTACACAACTATCTTTAGATTCTCATATAATCTCCTTTATCATGCTCCAAAATTCTTTGCTCATCATAGTCCACAAAGTATTGATATTGTCCCCTTTCAAGTTCCAAACCTCCTCTTTTTTTCATTATATATTTAATAATCCTTACATTATTGTCTCTAAATTTTTTATTCCCTCATATCTTATTCTCATTATTCTAAAAACCGATGATAGAAACATACCATTGGAAAACAATAGCCTTGCACCAGTTATCTATATCATATCTTCGATTATTGATGTTTATTCCTTTATACAGATGCCCACATGTGAGAAAAAAGTAAAACTACTCTTTGCTTTCCTCCCCTCCTCCTCGACCTCCCGCTGATTGACCCTTTGCTTGGCAAAGCAACTGCCCCGAGCTCCCCACCAACCATCCCCCTTCCCCCCTCCACCCCCCCACCCCGCCCCCTCCCCCAAACCCCTCTTTCTTCTATCTACTTCTCCCAAACAGTGCTGCCACCCCCGAGCCCTACTCTTTGCTTTTACCCTGAAGCCTCATGTGTTGTCCCATCTTACTTCACCACCCATTCTACCCGTCAGCCCTCTACTGCTATCTGCCTGACCTCCTGCCTACGCTATCTGCTTCTACCCAGCAGTGTCACACACGAGCTCCCCCACTCTGATTCTCTTCAGCAGAGCTACTGTCCTCGAGCACCCCCCACCTCCTCTTGCTTCTCCCCAGCAGACTTGTCGCACTCGAGCTCTTCCCCTCTCTGCTTCTTCCCAACAGCACCTCCCTACCCCATTCCTTTTTCTCTGCTTCTTCCCTCGATAATGCCCCATGCTTATTTCTCTCCCCAATAGCCCCATCTGGCCTTCTCCTGAATTTAAATGTTAGTTATTGTTAATAACGGTTAACTTTCATTAATAGTAGTTTATGATTGTTTAAGGGACTGAATTTATCAATTCTAGTATATTGGATTATCATTGCAGTTTTAGGATTCTGAATCATGGCAACAATTTTATAAATTTTATAATTATCTCCTTAATTATATTTTTTTATAACTTTTATAATGGTGAGCACCTTAGCATTTTGGAACCTTGGTATTTTTAGGGCCCACTGCCTTTGATGAAACTGCCAAGTAGGCATGTACAATGGATGCAACAAATTGTAGAGTAGCTATTTGTTGGCCTAGGCAACTGCCTCGGTGATAATGTCCCTATATCAAGTTAAGCAGGTTTTGACTGTCAAAAGTTCAGTACCAGTTGTTCGCCATACATAAAACAGAGAAATTTTCGTTAGATTAAACAATATATAAGCATAAAAGGAATATTTCATATTACCTTACTAGCTTTGGATGCTCTAGAGTCTCCAGTATCTTGTTCAAAGCTTTCAGTCAATGCAGGTGTTGATACCAAGAAGGTGTTGTCCGAGGAACTCCAAGATGATTCAACTTCTATAATGGAACTATTGGTAACAGGTGGTGCCTGCCTCTGTTTCCCATCCATCGATTGAAAAGCAATAACTTGAATCTTTCCCACCTGAAAGAAAAAATAATGTATATCTTATTGAGCTAAATGATGCTTTGTGATATGGAAAGGTAGCATAAGATAGACCTTCTGGGCATCTTCACTAAAACAAGAAAATATCAGTCCAATGAAACCATGTTCCAACAACTGATACATTGCTTGAGTTCGAACATCTGCAAATCACAAGTTACCAACTTCAATAGATTAACAAAATGCACATGGAAAGGATCCAACAAATTCAGTTCAATATGTAAACCAAATATAAATATAGCTACACCTAAATAAATAATCAAGACAAGTCAAATCACAAAAAACTTGCATCCCCAACATTAAAAAGGTAAAAGGTAGAATATCTTGTGTGTTTATATCCTTACATCTTTACTGCATATGCTAATTCACATATTTATCTTTTTTGCATACATATGTTATGGCAAAGGAGCTCTTACAAGAGTGTGCATTTTTAGAAGGATGACTACATACATGCAGGTAGTGAACTTTTGAACAAAATAATCAACAAATTACATTCTAGAGAGATTAATGGTGGACAACAAGAGATAGGGTTGCATACATTAACCCACCACAAATCCTGCATTTGCAGGAGTCTTGAACATTTATTGGTGGTTAAAATCATTTTTCTGATCTTTAAGACAAAAGTCACTGATGGTCTTTAGTTCCAATAGTTTTCAGTGACCTTTTTTATCATTATTTTGAAATGAAAGAGGGAAAACTGTAGAAATTTACTGCATCAGGACTTAGTCTGACAGAGAATAAGTCTGAAAACCTTAATCCAAAGCTAAATGAAGGAAAAATTTTATAGTAGCCAAATTCACTCTTAATATGTTATTTTATAGTTTCAAAGAACGTGTTTAACTTATCTAAATTCATTCTTTTTATCAATAACCTACAGGGTGAAACCTGAGTGGAAGTTCAAATATTCAACGTAGTACCAGCTTTGTTATAGTCATGTTAGTTATAGAATACTAGTAAGTCATAACTTAACAATGGTCATTGTAGAAAGATATGAACTTTTCATCTTTCAGGTATATGAATATCATGTCAACCAGATCAAAAATTGATAACAAACTAGCTTTGCTGAAACCCAAAATTGAAACACCATTTACCTAATGAGATTTTGTAACGACGATCTCTGAACAAATCATGCATTAAATCATAAGATCCATAAGAGAATGGTATTTTCTACATAATAATTTCCAACAAAACTAGACATGTTGATGATTTACCTCATGTGCCAGTGAGACAACAATATGAAAATGAGGCTAAATAAGAAATTGATCACTAGTAGAAGGTGATTCTACAAATAAAAAGGTTTATTTAGAAAATAACATTTTAAGGTTTAGCTTACTTTTACTTCCATCATTCACTTTGCAATACTTAACCATATAAAGTTTCTATCAACAAATGAAACACCACAGATTACCAGAAATAAAAATAGGTTAAAAAAGCTTCAAGAAAGTACATGTGGAATAATTAACTAATTTCTAATTTGTACTGATGAAACAAACACTGTGCAAACCGAAGCATCACATAAGCTGCTACATGCTTTGGTGCCTATAGTTATATGGTAACCTTGTGAACCATATGGGGACAAGCCCCTTTTTCTGCAATCCCTCTTACCATACCAGCAATCAGCATCAGATGGGTATTATTTGAATGCCTAATTTAATCATTATATCTACTAAACTTTTGCCAGTTCTTCATGGTTTATACAGGACCTATCATCTTCTCAAACAATAGATTAATATAATGTCATTCACCCTATAATGTTCAAGTGGTTTAAGTAATAAAACTATACTTGTTCGACATAAGTTAAACATCACTGATGTGATGGGTGATTTACAGGAACTGAATCCGAGTAGGGTGGTTCATGATCCACTGCCTTGATTCACTTGACTCTTGAGCAAACTGTTTAGTACGGATCAATATTTACTAGTCCGATCAAGTATCAATGTCAAAATGCATAGCTTGATACCAATACAATATTATTTAACAATAATAACAATAACAAAGTCATAAGTCCCAACTATTTGGAGTCAGTTACATGGATATTTTACCGCTATTGAGATTTGTAAAAAGTTATATGTTTAGTTAAGTTTAATGTACCTAGATCTTTATTTATAGTTTCTATTAAAGTCTTTTTACGTCTTCCTCTATCTTTTCTCGTACCACCAACATTAATCATTTCACCTCTTCTAACTACCGCATCTAGAGGTCTCCTAAGCAAAGTCTTCAATTTCGAATAATACCACCCGTACCGAGCGGTACATACCAGTCCATCAGCAGACCAGTACACGGACCGTCGGCTACCAGGCGGTATATATATATATATATATAAAGGCGACTTCGCCGAGGCCGTTGCCCCGCGTAGGGAGAAGAGAGGTGACGTCGCACTTTTTTTTTTTACTTTTATATATAAATAAAAGATTATATATATATATATATATATATATATATATATATATAGAGAGAGAGAGAGAGAGAGAGAGAGAGAGAGAGGCGACGTCGCCTTGTTTTTCAGCGACGTCACCCCGCTTGGGGAGAAGAGAGGCGACATCACCGAAGCAATGTTGCCTCGCGTGGGAGAGAAGAGAGGCGACATCGCCGAAGCGACGTCATCGAAAATCTTTTCTTTTATTACATATATATATATATATATATATATATAATACCGAACGGTATACCGCTTGGTATACAGTACCCTACCATACCAAGCGAATCTCGAAACTCCGGTACGGTACGATATTTTAATCCTTACTAATAAACACGTGTTCATACCATCTTGAACGATTTTCTTTCATCTTATCGTCTATCGAAATAATACCTAGTTGTTCACTAATACCAGTATAATATTATTCATTTTTTATTTTTATCATTTTATTTAAAGATATCATTCAGTATGTCAATATACCACCTAGTGTACTAGTACTATACCAATGCAATAGATTACTGAAATCGATATCATACAGAGAATTATATCCTTGCTTCTTCCCCTTTGGAACTAAAGGTCTTTATCTTTAATTAGTTTATCTCTATTGTATTTATATTTTCCTCCATATCCTAGGTCAAGATATTTGACATAGTATATCATTTTTTTAAAAATGTAGAAACAAAAGAAGAAACACACTGGGACACATGTTCACCAAAAAGGCTTTTGGAACCTTATCATTTAGTGCCAATTTGAATAACACAATATAAAGGAGCAGAATAATATGATATTAACTTGTCTGAGTTTTCTGCCATAGATTAATAAAGTATTAACACATTACAACTCAAAGCAGTCATTAGAATATTCAGCTTACCTACATGAGATGGAAGAACTGTAATGTGAGGATGTGAATGATACCACCCAATAACCCTTGTTGTTCTGCCTGTTGTCAGAGTCATTCTGTGCTAAAAGGTCAAGTTTTAAATGCAAAATTTCACATCCTCTAAGATCAAAGAAAAATTAATCTAACTAGATAATGGATATCTCAGCTTGAGCTGAAGCTGCAGCAAGCAACTCAGGATTAGTCTCCACACGATCTTTGCGTCGATCAGACCGCATCTGTGGGGATGCTCCCCAGATTAGTGCAGTCGCATTCCCACTATTTGAATACTACAAGGATCAGATTGTCAAAATATGCCTAAAAAAGTAAAGAAGATAATGCAAAGGCACAAGAAGAAAGCAGAATGGCTGAAATTAAAGAAAAAATAACCCTTGCATTCTCCTACAACAATAAAAGCTTGCATTAGCATCCAATAAAGCATAGGATGAGAAAATCCATCACTAGAAGAGTTAAAGAGCATGTCTAATAGCTCATATAGCTATTTTACTATCTAACAACTGATTAGAGCTTCCTACAAATAAAATCATTGTTCCAACTGCATCACAAGTTGTGATGGGCTCAAAATGCTTCTCTTGTTTTGGCTCCAAAGGCTATTTACGATCATGCTTATACAAATATATTATCATGATTCCATCCATGTTTGTCCTTATTTGTGAAAGAGAAAGTGACTTGAGACCTTGTATAACTGTGGCTTCTTATGACAAGAAAAAATTCGTGTCTATTATTGACAACTTCTTCCCAACTTGTGTTTCACTATAAGTTGCGCTCCCTGGACCACTACCACGTAGTTATGAAGAAACACCAAAAGCAAAGGCAGCTCTCTCTCTCAAAATAGGTCTACAATCACAATACCACTATCTCACTCACAGCTCCAAGTTTTTCTGTAACAATCACCATGCCTATGTCAACTAAGGTCTTTACATTTTTTAACATTCAACAACATAACAAAATGGTTCCAGCAACATGATTAGTTTTATCCAAATTATAAGAGTACGTTGGTTTCAAATAAAATTTCAGAAATCACTACTAAAAGTAGTTCTTAATCAGTTTCATTAGCCTATTTGGTAGAACCACACTAAATTTTGTCAGGTAATATGACATAAAGATCAAGAAAATGAGACAAACTGGTACATAAAGATCAGTTTCATACTCCCACTTGCAAGAACAGGCTTCATTCCCTACCATCAAAATGTAAGCTTAAAAACAGTACAGGAATTCACAACAATTCCTAAACACGATGAAAAGTGGCGAGCAGGGCAAGACATGTCAAGGTCATGCAACAGATCACTAACAAACTCTTCAAATGGAACTTCATATTGCTATGAAATAAAAATTATAAACTATTAAATAAGTTTTTTCCTTAGTCAAGAAAACCGTCTTTGTGACCGGTAAAATTGAGAAAAATTTCCTACAACCTCTTTCTTCAGATCAATTGTCACATCATAGCTAAGTAGATGTCGAGCAACATAGTGATCTTATCTACAACACCAGAAAAGAGAAATTTCTAGCAGAAAAAGATTGACGTCTCAAAAATAAAAATTCGTAAAATTCATATATAATTATTACCATAATATCCAGAAAAGGTAGAAACCTTGATAGAAAGAAATTGACAATCTGTAATATAAAACGTTGATTTCACCTAAAGTCATTCAAGTTAATTTTTTTTATGATAATAGCACGATGAAGAAACACTATGCAGAATCGTCACAACAAGAGGGAACAATCTAAAAGTACTTTTTAAATAAGTGAAACAAAAAGAAGGAAAAGGAAAAGAAACCCTAAACCATGGCTCCATCAATTATCACTGGACACCGAAAAAAAGCATTCTAGTAGGCAGCAAACGGATAAATATATGCAAGACCTACAAATTCTCACGCCACATAATGAATCAACGCTAATTAATCGCAACTCCAAAATGACAATTTAAAATCCAACGATTTGCGAAGGAACAAAAGGATGCTTTCAAGATGGGATTTTTTTTTCGATCTATGATGTATTACTTGGATGTCGCCGAGGAGTAGACCCATGATCTCCTCTGTTTCGGTAGTGAGCGCGTGAGTAAGACAAGTGAGCCAGACCTCCTCTGCCATTTTCACCGACGTTAGAGACATCGCTCTGAACTCTCTTCTGAATCGCACGCGTGCGTCTCCGACTCTCCTTGAAAGGGATACTCTGGTGAGGGGAATCAAAGCCAAGACGATGAGAAAACTGGAAAAAAAAATTAAGGGACGGCAAAATTGCCTATCTAGCCGTCCAAAGTTACTCATATTCGTTTTTAACCCTATAATTTTTTTTTAAATTTGTATATATTATCGTAATTAATCTACATGAGTTGACTGACTCGTTTATATTAAATAACTTTTAAGAACTCATGGGGATAAAAGAAAAAACGAACGAGTATTTTAGACGAATCAAACTTTATATTTTTAAATTTTAATAAATTAATATCAATCACTATTTGTTGGTGCACATGTTGATTGTCCGAGCCGAAAGATACTCGGATCCAACTTGGTCTATCCTCAAAGTGTCCTATAAACACTTCATTAGGGGACAACACCCCTCTAGCGTTCCTGACAACACCCCTCTAACACTCAAATGAATGAATAAGTCGGACACGTCAGATATATTAGACTCCAAAAGATTTTTTTATCTCTATATTAGACCTATGCGACACCTTTTATAACAAACACTATATGAGAACCGGTAATAATTATCTTTTAAATCTTAAATTTTGATGATAAAATTAATTGATAGAGTTTATGATTTAATTTACGTTTTGAACGACGCATAACTAGCTTCGATCATGAAGAGATAATTAAAGCAGGAAGAATCAATGTTGGGCCGAAGTGGAACATGTCAAAAGATTGGACGTCGAGCCGGAGAATCGATCAACATATCGGCAGAAGACTTCGTGCCATGAGTTCGTGCATTGGGCCTAAAAGAGCGGACATTGTGCCAAGAAGATCGGAGTTACAGAGGTCAACATGTCGATTGGGCAAAAGATCACAAAAGATGATGATACATCGAAGGATTGGACGAAGCGCCGATGAACTCATGACATGTCAAACAACATGTGATCAATACTTTGTAATAATTATCTAGATCGAAGTAGTTTTAAGTTATAATTGGGTTGAAATTAGGCCAACTCAATTAGGGGCCAATTGGGCATATGCTGGGGTCGTTTTTAGCCAAGAGAAATGCTCATTCAATGACCCAAAAGTTAGGTTAAGCGGTGGCACCACCAGAGGCTCAGTCTCCAAGACAATCTCCGAGACTGTGTCAGGTGGTAGAATCGCTAGACTGGGCGATGGTACCACCTAGTGTTAGGTAGTGGTACCACCAGACTAGGCAATGGTACTACTCAAATATAGTATCCCAGACTATGTCAAGTGGTGGTACCGTCTAGTATCAGTGCTGTAGGTGGTAGTACCGCCTAGCATAGGCAATGGTATCACTAGGACTTAGGAAACCCAAGATGAGATATTTTTTGACTTAAATTTTGAAGTCATTTGAGGTCTATAGATACTCAAGCTATTCCTGTACGGAGATATAAGAATTAAGTAGAAAAGGGAAAAATATTATTGAGAAAGAAATGTTGTAATCTCTCTTGAAGTCTAGGGTCACTTCTTCCTAGCATTTAGAAGTTCCTCTAAAGGGAGAAGTGAGGTCTAAGAAAGAGAGGTTGTAAAAATTCTCTCCTGAACCTATAAAAAGGAGAAAGAGTTATAAGATTAGTTGATCTTCGCTCATTGAAAAAAGATCGGTAGTAGAAGTCAATGGCCTCGAGTGAAGAGGAATCGGGAGTGGATATAGGTCACGACGACTGAAGCACTATAAATCTGGTTTGTATTTACTTTGATCTTTTTATTTTAATTACAAACTGATTTCTTACTTTCACTACGCTTATGAACGTGTTTTCAAGTTAATATCTTTCCGATATTAGTTTTCATCGTACGAAGTTTCAAACTAATGTAATTTTTCGTAAGCATTAATTCACCCCCCTCTTAGTATTGATTTTGGTCCTAATAGTTGGTATCAAAGCCAAGATTTCTCTCGGTTTGGTTTAACACCCAAGAGAGATAGTTTTTTTCAGCTTTCAAGAGAGTCTTTTTATCATTCGTCCTCCTATATTCAATAGGAACACTTATTGGAAAACTCGGATGAGAGTTTTCTTGCTTTCTTTGAACTTTGATTTATGGAATATCGTTGAACTTGGTTTTCAAATCCCCTCTAAACTTATGAATGAATGGAATGACTTTGAGCAAAAATTATTTCTTTAAATGCGAAAGCTATAAATACTTTATTTTACACTTTAGATAAAAATGAGTTTAAACGTATTTCGACTTATGAAATTGCACATGATATTTGACACACTCTTGAAGTCACACATGAAGACATAAGTAGGGTTAAAAATACTAAAGTTAATTTTTTGATGCATGATTTTGAATTGTTTCGTATGAAACCAAGCGAAACTAGTGGAGACATGTATACCCGTTTTACGGATGTCATCAATAGTTTAAAAAGTCTTAAATATTTTTCTAATTTTGAACTTATTAACAAAATATTATGATCCTTTCCAAAAAGTTGGGATTCAAAAGTAACGAAGGACTTAAACAATTTTCCACTTGAAGAATTTATCGGGTCTTTGATGACCTATAAAATGACTTGTATTGAACATGATGAATAGGAGAACTATCTTCCAAAGAACATGAAGGATTTGACACTTCGAATAATAGAAGACTACTCGATAGAACGCTCAAGTGAAAATGACATAGAACTTTTGACAAAAAAAATTAAAAAGTTCATGAAAAAGACTAATTCTAAAAACGATCTTAAAAATGACACGACAACTTGTTATAAATCGAATAAGCTACTAAAGAAGAAAAAAGCATTCAAGGTGACATGGGATGAATCAAGTACATTCGAAGATGAGGAGCAAACCATCAAAGGCGAGGTGGTGAACTACACCTTAATGACTTTCGACAATGAGATAAATGACTCAATCAAATCTCATTTATCTTACAATGAATTGCTTGATGCTTTCCATGATTTATTTGATAAATATATGCTAGTTGATAAAAAATATAAGTTGTTAAAAAAGGATCATGCTTCTCTTGCTAGTAAATTTAAAAAATTAAAAAATAAGTATGATAATTGCATGTTAACTCCTTGCACTAAGTATAAAGAGTTAGACTCACTTAAAAAGGAAAATTTATTTTTTATAATAAATGTTAGATAAATTTAAAATTGATAGCAAATCTTTAAACATGATTCTTACTAATAAGTGTCATATTCATAGAAAAGAAGGAATCGGCTTTGTGAGTAACACTGAACAAAAGCCAACCAATTTTGTTAAAGGACCCACATTATATGTTTTCCTTGAAAACAAATGTAATTTTTGTGGTAGACATAGTTATTTTACATATAAATATCTATTCAAAAAGTATAGCTCACATAAATTGGTTTGGGTTCCTAAAGGAACTATGAATGACTTAATGCCAAAAGCTAAGAGTGAAAGATCAAAACATAAAGAACCCAAAGTTAAATGAGTACCTAGAACAAAACTATCTTTCGTGTAGAAATATCTATAATCGAAAGCTATGAGCAAAAATAAAATTTTGATAGTGGATGCTCAAGATTTATGATCGGAGATCCAACCATCTTTATAAAGCTCACTAGCCAAAATAATAAAGGAAATATCATTAGAATTAGAACTATTAGTATCAAAATGATTTTTATTAAAGATACTTTATGAAATCATGTTTGATGATTTAATGATGTAATAAGATAATGAAAATGTTAAAATTTTTGGCATCATGCTTGATGATCTTATATTATGCATGATGATTTGAAGTAATAATGATTTTTATGATTTATGATTTATTGATCTTAATGATTTTTGTGATAAGTCTTGTTTTTAAGTTTTAAAAATGATGCATAGTTATGACATTAAAAAAAAAAAAACTTGGGCATGTCTGGATGAAATTAATCACATAAATTGAAACAACTAAAAAGGGAATGTATTTTGAAAATTTCTATATCTCTATCTTATCGATTTTTTCAATAAAAATTGATAAATCTATTTATGTCATTTTGAATCTCTTGAAAGTGATTTTGATGATTTGAATTGGGATGAGTTTTGTCTAATCATGAATTTTGTCTTAATTTCTCGATATTTATAACTTGAGATTTATTCTATATGAATTGAGATATTTTATCTTCTATATTTCTTTTTGTCATCTACTATCCAAATGAATCATGATTGGTATTACTGTTATTTTATCTCCTATGTTTCTTTTTGCCATTTGCTAAAGAGGAGAATTATCTATATGAATCATGGTTTATCTTGATTTCTCAGTTTTCAATGACTTGCATTTTTCATTTGAATCAAGATCATTTACTATGATTCATCTTTTCACGATTTGATTTATCCAAAAGAATCATAATTTGTCTTTTGATATTCACAACTTGAAATTTGTGTTCATGAATTATATATCTTATCACCAAGTTATTTTTTCTTGATATATTTCATGAGATGATTTGAAAAATGATGTAAAGGGAAAAGTTTTGCACTATCGTAACGTTCCCTTCTTTTTGACAATAACAAAGGGGGAGAGAAAATTGCTATCTTGCATATATCAAGAAAAGCAAATTGCTAACTTGCAAAGAAAGGCAAAACTTACAAGTTTTCACATCTCAAAGGAGAAAGAACTTGCTAGCTTACATAATGTAAATAAAGTAAAAAATTGTTAGCTTGCACTTCTAAAAAAAAGAAGAAAGAACTCACTAGCTTGCATGTTCTAAAGTGATGAAAAATTTACTAAATTGCTAAGCTTACATATCTCTAAAATATTGATAATTGCACTTCTCCTTTTTATTGATGACAAAGAGGGAGAAGATATGA